ATAACTTTTAATAAATCAACCGTCGTAGTTAAGTATATTTTGATGAAGATAAGATTGTCACAAGCCCAACGAAGAGTATAAGCGTTTGTCTGAATATTTACGAACCAGTTTTCGGGATTTCCCCAAACGATTTCCGTACCACGAAAACCAGTCATGAAGTATTGAATTACGCCTGTTTGGCCTTTCGAATGGAACAAGAAAATGTGTCTGAAATCAAATCTACTCAAGTTATTGAACATTATTAACCCGGTATCATGGTTTCTCAAAACCAGACTTTTTATACTAAATATGTTTTCTTTAAGCTTCTGCATTATAAAATGTTCTTCACCCAGCTTTTCCTTAGGGAATTGGTTTACTTTCCAGTCGTACCGGTTACTCTCGCGACATTTAACGGCAATTTCCTGCTTGAGTTTAACAATGATATAATCGTGTGTAGTTATAATATCTTCGGACGTATAAGTACCTGGAATCGGGTTTTCCAAAAACTGGTGTAATATTGACGTATACAAGTGAATGAGCCACAAGGCTCCAATAGGCTCTCCCACGTCGTACAAAGTAGATATCTGTGCTTTCATATCGTAGTTGTTGTCTGTTAAAATTTCTGAGTTCAGGAATCCATGAATGCCATGAATGTCCAACAGTATTCTGGTTAATTGCATGCGCGCTAGTCCACTGAACAGGTATGCACATTTCAAATCCGCTTGACGGTCATCTACTCCTACACGGTGATAAGTGTAACCCGTGTCCAACAAGGGAACGGGCTGCACAAACCGACAAAATTGTATCACTAAGCACAAAGACATTATTTTCATAAGTTTTCGGTTCTGCATTATTGTTGTCAGCACTACTAATACTAACAAAATAATATGTTTTACTCGCGCAACAAGCGAATACCTACCTACACTTTGCTATGTGCTGTTATGTGTCTTGAATATGTATTTATCACTATTTACAATTTTACGAGCTACAATGACGCTTCTAATGTTTGCACAATTGGAAATAATTTTACACGACTATAGTGTAGGAAAGAAAAGTTTTGAAATAGTCCTACTTTTTTCAAAACAAATTTTAAGTGCATACTGGGTTAGTAGAATAAGATATCGAAAAACTACATCGTCACTCATTATCAAATCGTACATCTTCTAGCAAAGATATCTACTTTGTACAACATAGGGAGAGGGCGGTAAATATACCCACTGATTGACCATATACATTTACAGGTATCTATGTCCTCGAAATTATTATTATTATTGCACACGATTATATCATTATGATATTATACTGAAGTTGGAAATTGCATTTCACTATCAAAAGGGTAACCGGAGGAGTTTTTTACAATGCCCTCGCGACAAGCTGCGTAAAGAAGATTTCGCAATGCAAGAGAGTTGAGAAGACCTGAGAAGTACAATGATCTATGTAAGAAATCTGGTATTGAAAAACCGTGATAACGATTTGATAACGTTCAATAACATGACGTGTAGCTTTCAATTTGAACGAATTTTCTTGTACAACGTTGGCAACAAAAGAAAGGTAATACTTTATACAATATATTATTATCATAACTGCTTTTCGTATTGCCAATATTTCTTGTAGAAACCCTGAACAACGGTTGTTAAATGTATAGACAAACTACCATGGTCCATTAACGAATAATTATGATTCCATTTTTAGAGCAATTTATATGTAGTTGTACTAATAATTGCCCGTAATTATTATACCTATTGTATAAATTCTGACTTTTTGCCTTTCGGTCACTCCTTTGTCGCGTTAACGTGGAGAGATTATTTTTTCTTTGCATATTCTATGATATACAGAGTTTAAGTGTTGGGATGTAGATCAGCGCCTCGCCGTGGCCGTAACCATCACCGGAATAATTACTATTAATTAAAATAATATGATAATTTCGCAGAAGCAATCGCGATTGGCGAACAGTTTAGTATTGTGCATAAGTGATTTAGTGTTATTTAATCAAGGCTGCGTTAGAATCCAGCGAATAATAATTAACGGTATGTACAGGTATAAATTATATAGGTACCTATTATATTATGATTTGCATTGCTCGTTATGTATCATTGTTCATATGTCGGGTATATCGGTTATGTACATATATGCGTATTGTAATAATCGGGAAACCCAAGACGGATTGAAAACATATCGGGTTTGAATGAAGATGTCCCTCACGTTCGAAAATTTAGTAAGTAGGTACAATAAATGAATATAACCTCGAAAGATCTAGGCGTCCGCCGTTGTTAATCTTACCTGAATTTGATGGCTAATATTATTATAATTATCATCATCGGCGGATGCCAATGAATGGTTCTAGGCTGTGCCCATCGCAGTGTATTGTATATTGTTGCATATTGTTTACAATGTCGAGTCGGTTTGCTACAGTACCTAATTGATTTGACCAATTTAAAATGATATACTAGCTCTTGGGAAACGTCGGGATCGTTAGCCAATCCAATTAAAAGCGTACATCATTCGCGATCATTAGAACAGCCTCGATGCGTTACCAAATATTAATTGTAATGCAATAATTTAGTGGAAAAAATGTATTTGTAGCTATTGTATTTTGTACAAAACAAATGAACGCGACATTATACTAGTAGTGGTGCACACCATGAATGTTTAATTTACAAATCTCTCATCAGTATTGCCCAATCACAAATATGAATTATGACCTATTTTGTCGTTTGATCCAACGAGTAGTAAAAACGACATATTATAATTACACGGTATAATAACATGTTAACTATTACAATGTCTTATTACATATTTAACCTAGTAAGCATAAGGGTATAGAGCTCTTGAGTTTTAGCGGGTTTTACCGTAGAAATGATCCGGGCATTCTTTAATTGTATCCGATATCTATCATTGAGTAAACTTAAAGTACCTACTGGTTATGCTAAAACTTAAATCATAATTAACATACTATAGTGAATCTAGAAACTATTAAAAACAACGCGTGTGTAAAAAGGTATTTTTTTTTACAAGTTGTCTCACGATATCTTCTTAACTGACTTCTTAATGTAGCAACTAGTAAATCATAAATCGTACCTTATTGACCAAAAATATATTAAATGTTCGCCAATTTTCCTTTAAAATTATATTATTTATCTGTTCTGCTTGGAAAATGTCATCGTTAAGAAATCTGACGCCGACAAAAATGAGTTGTAACATCCTATGATTATTATTATGTATTTTTTAACTTTGATATTTTGTATGAACTTCAAAACGAGTACACAAAAAATATTTGAAAAAAAACACTACCACAAGATGGATGACTAATAAATTGGTAAAAAAAAAAAAGTCATTTGAGTTCGGTTAAGCAATTTTGACTTGTACGAATAACAATAAAATAACAGCCTTGACAAGGTCATCGTATCGTCCTAAACAAAAAATGTGTGCAGCGCACATGTAAAATTATATTTTACATGATTAGTAATTTTTTTTTCGTTAACTACGGTCTGTAACTCGATACATTGTCGTTATAATCATTTTTTTTTCAAAGCCAATTTCTATTATGTTTTAATGTTTCGTGCATAGTCTATAATAATAATAATAATATAACACGTTTATATTATAATAGTAGATGTTAGTTTTATATTGTCACAGGTACAAAATATGCATGTTTTACTAAAAAAAAAAGTCTGGTCTTATATTTTTAAGCTCACAACAAAATATGTATACATTTATTGCACAATTTGTTCTAAGAACTTAACGAAGTTTAAATAAATGAATTGTCGTTTTACAGTGATAAATTACAAATTATATTTTTCAAATAAATAAAAATACAATTATTATCCAAGTAATATATTATTTTAATAATTAAAATGGAATGGTGTAATTATGTATGTAGGGATCAAAAAATACTTTTCAAATAAAAAAAAAACATTCGATTTTTTCTTGAAAAATAAATACATCATTATATTCTTGTTGTTTATAATTTAATATTACGATAAATTGTATTGGACAATCATTGTCCTTTTAGGTAATTTCAATAAATAGGTACCTAAATTAGTACCACGAGATTTCAAACCACAAATAAAATTCCAATAATCTATATTACTTTTTTCCATTGATCATTTTTTTTTTGTATTGAAATGTAAAAAATTTAAATTAATTTTAATGCTGAACATTGACTACAAGACAAGTGTATTATTGTCTTTTGTTTGGAACTAATCTTTTGACGAAACGTAAATGATAATATTAGGTAATAAGTTACACTATAAATAACTAATTTATAATTTACAAAAAAAAATTCTATGTAACCAATTATAGTTATTTTTTACTTAAGACACTTTACAGTTGTAGTTTACAAAAGACTTTTTTCATAAAAATTTCAATTTAAAACTATTAAGTAATTTTAAGACGAAAATGTTAAACTTTTGGCAAATTAAATAGACCCCATTGCATAGTAGGTACTTAATCACATATTTATCAATACATAATAAGATTAATGATTATATAAAAATATAATTATACCATGATTTGTCCAGAGTCTGTCACCTTTTTTTTACTCACTACACACATTTCCGTCTCTCTTTTTATATAGTGTTCGCCCCATTTAGTCATTTTTCTCCATCACTCCAATTCAACTTACAACACTTCAATATTTTCACCACGCGACTTAATGTGGAAAAAAAATTAAAAATACAAAATGTTTGTTGTACTTAATTTAAAACAAATAATTATATATTGTTTACAGTGTAAATTTAAAGCTTACAAAAAATAATTGAATAGTAATAACAATTATGGTATACATCACAATTCATAAAAATATAATATTTCTTAAATAAATAATAAAAACATATTTAAAAAATATATTTATATAGTTTGGATTTTATATCAAAGTATTGCTTTGACAATGATAAAATAAACAATAAGTATTTATGCCTAAGCAAATAGTCTAAGTACTTGATTGGATTTAACAACTAAGAAAATACTTAAGGAACATAAAAAAAAAAGACGAAAAACGCTATAAGTGAATACCCAAATTAGTCATGTTTGTATCGATGACTAAATAATGTTCCTTTAAATCACAATAATTTTGTTTTTTTTTAATCTCTCATTGAAAATTAAAATATTTGCATATATTTTTTCAACTAAATAAAGTTATACTATAAATTAAACAAAGTTTAATTTAAAATTTTAATAAGTACTATAATAACAATAAGCCAGAGATCACAATATGTAACAATACGTTGTATACAAAATGTTCAATACCCTCATCAAGTTAAAATCAGACTAAGTTAATTTCGTTTATTAGAAAACTAAATTTCTAAAAATATACACATGTTAATATGTAACTTAAATTCGATAATGTTGCAACGGGTACATTGATACAATGTTGTCTAATATACTTGAGCTTTCGAAAAAGAGAAAATTTTTTTTTAAAAAACAGATACAAAGAAACAAAATTCTTTGTAAAACAAACTTTCTTTTTCTTTTTCCCCCATTCGATTTTAGGTAAAATGGTTTCCTGTGCCTAAAATTGATTAGGCTGATAGGTTTAAAATATGCACGAGTATATACGCCGTTTAAACTACTCGGACAAATCTAGGGTATACGAAGCGTGATTAGGAACAAACAACTGGAGTTTATCCTCTTTGGGCGGCTTCTTGGACGATATACTTTTACGCTTACGCCTGTTCATTATGCCCATTTCGTCGTCCATCAACCGAACGATTTGAGCGGAATCTGAAAAGTCTATCGGAGCGATCGATATGTCTCTGACGGCTCGAAATTTACCGCAGTTGTTCAGATGTTCATTTTCCAAACGGAAAAAATTCCATACGAACCTCCTGCAAATAACAAATGCCGCAAATATTTGTTTTGCTTATAATTTACCAAGCGTAATTAAAAATAACGTACACACTACGCATCACCGTTACCGACTTACCTGAATACTTCTAGAGGCGAAGTCAAAGAGTTCGCCATTTCTGTGCTCAAAATACCGTAACTGGTGAGTAAATATTGCGGTATCCACACGAATCTGATTAATAAATCTTCGATGATTGCAAAATAATAATAACCCTGTAAAAAAAATCATAAAATTATGATAAACAAAGCAGAGTTGGACAAATTTTATAATGATCAAAAACTCGAAAAATGAACCAATTGCTATTCGAGAGGTCAAGTTTAGTAATAAGCAGGTACCAGAAGAAGGTAGACGAGATGTTTTGTTTGGCGAGTAGCAAATCAAGTTGAGACATTTGGGAAGAACGTGAATGACTGAGCGGTGTTTAAGGAAATAATAGTATTCGTATAGATAGATTTTAAAGACAGACGTATTCTCTATAAAATGTATAAAGAACAAGAAACCATTATTAATATTAATACAACAACAGTGACTGCCAGAATCCAAAAAGGTATGAGACAAGGGTGCCCACTTTCACCTGCATTGTTCAATGTATTTATTGAAAAAGCAATAAATGTCATAAAGCTTTGGTTAGAACAAAAAGGAATTGGAGTAAAAATAGGAGGGGTACTAATAACAATGCTTCGCTTCGCTGATGATATAGTCGTTCTTGCAACATCTGAGGAAGACTTACAAGCAGCGTTAAATGTAATGAATATTACGTTCAAAGAATATAGTCTGAAAATAAATGCAGCCAAGACCAAAGCCCTAGTATGCTACAAGAAAAACATACCATCTATAAATATAACATTAGAAAACAAAGAAATTATCCAAGTAGACTATTTCAAATACTTAGGCAGCATTATAACAGACGACGGGAAATCAACCAAGGAAATTAGAAGCAGGATAGGTCAAGCAAAGAATACATTCCTTAAAAAGAAAAAAATACTAACATCAAAAAATATGAACATAGTAACGAAGAAACGGCTCATAAAAACATACGTCTGGAGTGTGGCATTATACGGAAGTGAGACCTGGACAATTAATAAGAAAGAAAAAGATATGTTAGAAGCTCTGGAGATGTGGTGTTGGAGAAAGATGCAGAGAATAAGCTGGACTGATAGAAGATCAAATGAAGACATCCTGAGGACAATAGATGAAAAACGAACATTTATAGACATTATAAAGAGAAGGAGATGGCAGATGATAGGACACACGTTGAGACATGGAGATGAATTGCATAGTTTAATAATTGAAGGAATGATAGAGGGTACAAGATCAAGAGGAAGACCTAGGACGAGATACATTAGCCAAATAATGCAGGATGGAGGAGTCACTTCCTACAGGGAACTTAAGAATATGGCAAATGATAGAGAAAAATGGAGAAGCCATTTATTGTAAAACATTTGTTAAAAACCAATCTTCGGATTGAAAAACAAAAAAAAAAAACAAAAAAAAGTATTCGTATAGCACATTTATTTCAGTTTGCAACAAAACCCCCTTACAAGTGTTTGGCACTTACCCAAAAATGTTGCTTATTCAAAAACAAAAATGTATTGGAATTAAAAAAATAAAACTCGAGCTATTTACTTAAGCTTGGTTGAACTAAGCCAACGTGTCAACTGAATTTTCAGTCAATGAAAACTCAAATGAAGCAATCGTGACGAAGCCAATAATTATGCGCAAATAGAATTTTTCGATTTTGTTTTTATTTATTAGTTTTATATCAGAAAAAATTAGTAATAGACAATAGGTATACAGTTTTTTATTTTAATCGTGTACATTTTGTTTAAACCTCGCCTCTTCTCGTGCAGACAATCAATTATATTTATCCGACAGCCAACACAGTCGTTTGCCATTGTTTCTATGGTTTGTTAACCTTGCACGTTGGACGCATACAGTTTATTATGTTATTATTATTATATATTCTTTTGCGGTATACGACTATATTATAATATAATACACGAGCTTGAGTGGCGTCGTCTTGAATATGTCTCGTGTATGGACAAATGTCATAAACTATATATGTTTGTTTTCGAGAATTATGACTCAGAAAAAAATGCTATTTAATCAAAATGAAAACGATAAAATAAAATAGAGATAATGAACAATTTTATGAATTCAATTTGTGAGTTGAAAAAAAAAAATATTAGAGAATGATAACAAAATTGTCGTTGTCGGAGGTCGAACGGATCAGAAAGACAACAAAATGTTTTTGTTTTTTATTTACAAATTATCAACAACCGATTGTTATTAGATAATTATTATCTCTGCCGAGATAATAGTTGAGATTATTTGAATCCAGGGGCGTGCTCGCGAAAGGGAATCGAAGAAACATACAATTTCCCCTCACATTGTCTTAAAAATATATACTCCAATATATTGTACAACTAAAAATAATTTGGCGCCGTGGGGTGGTCAACATTTCATAGGGTGCTCCTTATTTAAATAGACAAACAGAGTTGAATCGGAGCATCATTGGAGAAAAGCATTGGTTTGAGAATAAGTAGGTTATACTTAAAAGCAGAGTTGGGCATAACTTTTACAATTTTTTCTTAAGAGTGTCATCATTTTAGACAATTGTTTGTTTTTTTTAATTTCGAAAGTATGCGGAGTACTTAAACAATATACTAAAACAATGTCGCAGCAGGTGTAGTTTAGATTTTCCCGTGCGGTTGTCCGCTCGAATGCTTGTGGTGGTTTTTCTCCGTTTTAAACAATTTTTGACAATAACGAGACGCACAAAAAAAAAGTGTAGACAAAAATATACACAAAGTGTGGTACATGTGTCATTAAAAAAAAAAAAGATCATTACTCAAACACTCATTTAACGTTTTAAGTTTAATTAGCGCGTCCAAAAACGTTTTGCCGTTGGCGCGTGTCTAATACAATTTCGTGTATAACGTTTTTTGATAATATTAACCGAATACACTTAAATCAATGGTAAATTTTGCGTTTAGCACAGATACACAATATAAATAATTGTACTTCGTTTAAATAGTAACACTCGATTAATGTATCTAATTTCAGAGTCGGGCAACATTTTTAAAATAGCCAATTCGACAAATAACGTCTTATTTTGAGTAATGCATAATTTTTTTGTTCCTGAACGATAATTGACAATCCGCAATCGTTAAATAAAAGATAATTGGTTTATTTATTGTTTATAAATGTAAACAGGCGATCCAAAATAAAAACCAATATATCAAAGTAAAAATGTGTAAAATAATAAACAAGGCAAAATTATGTTTGATGCTAACCTGACCTCACTGGCCTTTCCATTCGACAAAATCACTACTAAAGGAGAAATAAGTACCAGGTTTTTTAAATTTATATGCAAAGCAAATTTATCTAAAAATCATTAACACTATTTTAAGTGACTTTTTGTCACAAAATCAGAGCGTGAAAAAAATATTACACGTTTAATAATCTAAAATAAAACTGAATCGGAGATGTCCGAATGTAATTAATTTGATTTTGTTAAAAATGTAAACAAGGTTTTTTTTTTGTCAACAGAAATAATAGTAATAGTCATCAAAACTTATAGAATTGACCTCAAATCTTGTTTTAGCAAGTTGCATTATACAAAACAATAGTAACATACTTGTGACAACTATTATTATGGTGTCGACAAAAAAAAAAAAAGAAGCCTATACGTTTCAGAGTCAATTAATTGGTTAAGTCTGCCTTGTTTAACAAGCAAATCATAATAAATAATAATTAAGTGGTGGTCGGTTTTCCTATTTTAATTGACCAACAAGGACTAATTATAATCGACTAAGTGCAAAACACTCACTGTATTATCATAAACTATTTCTTCTCGCAAGAATAAATAATCACCGGAATGTTTATTAAACAGACCCCAGTCCATTTTTACGTCCCAAGTGTATGTATAGATAGAACTGATCACGGAACACAAGATCCAAAAGTAGAAGAACGGATTGTCGTAGTTATCATCATAGTTATCTGAAACATGTTTATGTAAGCAAACATAATTGATGTTTTCTATTATTTATTTATTTGTTTACTCTTGGTTTTTTTCAATATGGCACGAGCGAATACAACGAAAAATGTAGTCGAGTATTTTCCGGCATTTGCCAAATGAGGAAACGACTCTCCCGTGTCTCGGTAACGTCGAATGCACTGACCAAATCGAATCCATGCAGGAATACAATTGACTATTAGTTTCGATATAATGTATTCTTCGATATTGAATTTTACATCTGCAAATGTACGTAACTGCTAGCTACGTTATTCTCGTAGTTGATAAAATTGTGTTATTTTGATACTTACCCGAAGACTGGTACCAGTTGTCGTTGTACATATAAAAACAAACTAAGTAGTGAGCGTCGAGAAGAACCGTCACCAGACTGTTCAATTGGTCAGCAAGCCAAAAGTCTGCAAAACCAACATAGTAAAACGGTGCACAGACCATTCTCCACTGAATGAAAATACAAATATGTTTAGTTAACAAATAACAGAAATAAATTATATATACAATTATAATATCAAATTTACCAGTATGCGTAATAACCAAAATCTGGCTTCAAAGTAAAATATTTTTATCGGGTTGATGGTCAGCAGTATGAAAATAACAAACAGCGATAACGGATTGATGTATGTAGGTATGCTCAACGCTTCAGAATATAAATAACCAAGAATGCTAAGTGCGAATACCACGCCCAATATGCCGGCTATTTCGAACATGTGTTGTTCTGTGACGTGCTTCCTCGGATCAAGTTCAAATATCAACACGTGGTTCACTCCGGAAGAACGCCATCCATAAACGTTAATGCCGATCAGAAAAAGGAACTCTATCAACAGGAATGGTCCTCGGTACAAACGGAATGCTTGTTTCAAGTTGGTTTTGTTTTCGAAAGTGGCTAAAACGACCAATGTACAATTATAAGTTTAGTATAAAAAAATTGTTTTCAAAATGGCTGTTGATAATTTTACCAGAGATAAAAATTGCTACAAACAAAACAATTAGGCATCCCAAGTACAGGCCCACTTTGAACGTTGTCCATGGGCTCTGTGTTTCGCCTAACGGAGGAACACGCAATCGTTTCATAGCTTTTTGTCTATCACCGTATTCCAAATCATTAGTCACTGTGTGTTCAGTTTCATTTATTAAACGTAATATGTCTTTGTTCAAATAAAAATGAGACACCTCCACTTGTTCTTGGCGCCACTTTGCACCACTTTCTTTATTTAACAACTGAAAAATAAATAAATAAATAAATGTAAAGTACAACTGTTTGTCTTTAAGAACTTTTGACAAAACCTCAACCATACTTGCGAGCCAAGACTTTTTTATTTTAATCAAAACTTAATTATAATTCCAAGAAATAGAATTGATTAGTAAGTCGGAAAGCTATAAAACTGTTGCAGAGCGTTAGCAGAGTAGTAGTTAAATGTCAACTAACAATATATTAAATCATTTTTACTACACTGACATAGATTATTATTTATAGCAATCACAGTTTTAAGAATAATAAAAATTAATTAATTTTAAACATTACATAACAAGTATTTATAGAAAAATATTGATATTATACAATTACATTGGCTTAAAACCATTTAAATTTAAAAAGCAAGTACATAATTAATGCAATTATAATTGTTTGACTGATAATTTAACTAATTGTTGTCTTCAATGTTAGTCGCTACACACTGGTAAATTGTAATATCCTTTTCTGTGATTATTTATGTGTAATTAACATTTGTACATAACAAAGCAATTTAGTAAAGATTGTATGATTTAATTCACTGCATATTACAATCATAAATGAAACAGAATTTTTGGACCATAATTTAATTTAGAAATTTAAATATTATTTTGAAAACTAATAGTTTTTGTTCGCATAATAATTTAGTCATAAATCACATTAGCATTCTGAAAGCTGACATTTTAAAATTGTTTTTGTGTTTAACTTATTAACTTTTCTAGGTTTTATTTTTACACACTAATGAGTATGTATGGACACAATATATCATATATATATTCTTTCGGGTAGCAAACAAATTTAAGAAAATGATATGACCCAAGGCAAAATGTACATAAAAAAAAAATCAATAGGTAACAATTTGTTTTTTACAAACCTTATCGTGCTTTTTTAAGATTTTTTTAAACCCTGTGTAATTTAAATTCTGATAGTTTTGCAATAATATCAAGCTAAGATAGAATTCGCTAAATGCCAGTTTAAGCTCTTGAACCTTACGCGGTGCTATACTTGGTTTATTAGAGTCATTTTTTTTACTATAGTCCTTCATTTTGATCGCCGTAGAACTAAGTAAATCCAACTCGCTCTTCAATGTAGAAAATTTGCGCATAGCTTCCGCAAGTTTTTCTAGAACACAAAAAAAAAAATTGTTTAAAACAAAAAGGCTGCATTTCAAAACAGACGTTAGCCAAACAAACTGAACCAACCCGAATAGAAGACATTGATTTTTGCCAGTTCTCTCTCGCAATACTGTAAGAAATGTTCATCGAACTGTGTGAATCTCCGGAATAGACTCTCTTGGTCCGTCGACTCTGCTGACGGCGCTTCTTCAATTGCTTTGTACAACATTACTTTCATGTCCTGTCACACAATCAATAATACATCACTATCGTTGGGTACTGTCTTAATAGGCGCATGGACTCCGATCCGGATGTCTGTCGACAATTACTCACCTCGTAGTTGATGTACTGCTTCCGCCATTCCGGGGTGATGTGCGCCTGCAGGTGTTCGGCGAACTTCATTTTGAAAGGAGAGTCGAGAAAGAACCCCACGGGTTAGGGCAAGGGTGAAAAACGTGCGTCGGAACAGGGTTGAAGAGCGGATAGTCATAGGCGTTGTTGGTGTGGGTGTCGACTACTAGGACGGACGTCGGCTTCAGCTTGTCAGCCCATCACGAGCGTGCACATAAGTAGTCGGGATGAGAAAAAAAAATTAAAAGAGATATGTGAATTATGAAATATGAATAATAGCTAGAGTGCAGATAAAGGATTTTTTGAAGTGCGTTTTGTCGTTTGATAACGGCTGCCGTGCGTGCCACCAGTGCGCCAGTTACTGATAACGGTTGTCGGTAACGTCGGGCGCGGGCACCCTGTCCGTCGGGAGGGTATGGAGGGGTCAGCGGCGACGGTCACGAGGGACGACAGCAACGCCATCGCGCGGACACGGCCGACGTTACCGCCGTTGGCCAACGCCGGCCCGCGGCTGGTCGCGGCAACGGTTCGTAAACTGTATCGCGCGTGGCCGTCGTCCGGTCGTGTCGATGAGTTTTGTGTGCGCGTGCGCTGGCCGTTGACCGTTTGGGCCATGTGACATTTCGAATTTTCCGACCGCCGACGCCGTTGTTATTCAATTTTTATTTATACACGGAAGTGCGTACGCTGTGCACGGTTATTTTTATACATTTTTTCCAGCAAAACCTAAGCAGGCGGTCCAGCTCCGGTTGCGCCACTGGACACATCCCGCGCCGCCGCCGTTGGCCTATTTTCAACAAAAAAAAACAACCGACGTAAATAGACAAAACCCCTGATAAAGGTCAGTAGCCTTTTACCGGTGTCCGGCGGCGGTCGACCGGTAGACATCAACAGTTTGTGTCCGCTTCGTTACTTTGGCGGGCGATGGAAAGGAGTGCTTACCTGTCCGGATCGTTCGACGGCCTGTCCGGCGGCACCGGACACCACTATTTCAAAAGTTCCTTCGCCAAATCCATGGCGTTGGAAACGACCAAGTCGCTAAACTTCGATTTGGACGTGGTCGGCAACAGTGATAAAAAGGTAAGTTTTTTTCTCACTCTTTTATAAACGGTAGCAACCCTTCGTCGGCTTGCGCGTTTAGGTTAAGTGAAGTGGGTAACTTCAAACAAGTGCGGTTAAAAACTATGGACAAAAAGTTTCGAAAACTTTGAAAGACATAAGCTATAAAATTTTGAAAATTCATCCGTTGTTGAGGGCCCAGGTATATATTTTTTCTGTGAGATTGAGCTGTTTATTTTTTAGCTATTTGGAAATTACCCTAAGTTGTTACCCAAATTATTCTTTTGTTACTGTTTTTGTAAATTAATAGGTATGTAAAAGAACGTTTTCAAAAGCTTTAAAGAATTTCGTATAAGTTATACTTATATTATTCTAAAATTAGTTTTGATGTAAAACAATATCACTAAATAGTAATAATTTAATGACATTTATATTATTTTATTTGAATCTATTTCATAATATATAATTTGTATACTTGATATATTTAGTAGACCACCTGCTTTATGAATCATTGTTATCTTAAATGTTATACCATTTTTAAGAACTAATTTTTTATTGTTTGGTTAAAAATTGTTTTTAAATGAGAAAAAAATATATTTTATACTTGTAATCGAAATCGTTTTTCGGACCCATGTAATAGTTTTTTTTCTGTATAAATTAGTTTTTTATATAAAAATAAAAATGTATTTGAAATTGGTCTAAACTCTAAAAAACAGTCTAATAATGAAAATTTCCATCAGAATTCTCAAAAAAAAAACCGATACATCCGTTTAATTACTTGCACTTAAAAATGTTAAGTGTATAGATCAATTTAGTACGATACACGTTGGTTTATGTGTATATTATGTCAAGTTTATAATAATATTGTTAAAAACATAACTAATTATTTTTACAATTTCTTTGGCTTCTATTTATACATTTTAAATCAAATACTTTTTATTTGGGCATATATCCATATAATGTGATTATATTTAGTATTATTCGGTGCATACTACTTGCTTTCGAGATTATTATCAATAGGCGAGTTTTTTGGAACGCAAGTAGTATACAGCCAAATATAAGGTTCAACGTTTTATTTCGTGAAATCCAGATTTTTTGCTTTGTAGTTAAAATGGATCATCCATTTTTTTGTTATTTTTCAAAATAATAAATAACCTTCACTTTGACAAAAAAAAAATATAGAGTATATTTAATTTTTTTTAAAAACACAACATGATGTAATTTTACCTATTTAATCATGTGCAAAAATCAAATTATTTAAAGTCATGCGATCTCCTCGCACTGTAATTATTAATATAAAAGTTGAATGTAAACTATTGTAATATATCTATGAAGTATTGTAATTCGCGTGTAGGTTATTGCTTGAAAAAATAATTTTTTTGATTTAAATTAATTGAAATAAATTTCAGTGTTTACTACCAAAACATAATGTAAACGATTTATATTTTTACTATTATTAGATATTTTTTTCAATAGGATATTTTTAAAATAATTTATTGCGGTGTATTGTTTGCCATAATGTATACACATATATAACAGGTTAATATGGGAATTTTAACAAATGAAGTGTCTGCTACACGTTTAATCTATTAAATATAAATCATAGTTTAATATCAAAATTAATTCAATTTAGTTCATTGTTAAACTCGCCAAACGTTATTTAATTGTTATTATTAAAAATTATAAATAACCAACTTATCGATTGTGTATAAAATGTATTTTTAGATCATTTATAATTTTCAACTGTAGGATATTCCCGTTGTAGTCAGGAGTTATGCCGATAAACATAACAACCTTTCACCATAATATAAAGTTATATAATAATAATGATAACATAACCGTTTTAGCCGTTGACATTAATAATAACAACATAGCCTTGGCTACAAACGTTTATTTTTATCTAAGACGGTAAAAGATTAAAACAAATGTGATTGGAATTACATGTACTTTTTTTGGATAATTTGTTTTAAATTTGTTAATGTTCAAAATTTTGAAAAATGTCTTCACCCTTGGAGAAAGGGTGGCGTGTGTAGTATTTTTATCTGCGCGCATTACTCTACCGCATTCCAACTCCCGTCCTAAATTTTAAATTGTATAAGTAATTGTCCAAAACTGGTATATTTATATATGTTACCATTGAAGTATTAAAAATTAATAGAGCTCTGAAAAAAAATCGTTTTGAGTATTGTCTGATATTGCAAATAACATTAACTAAATTGTTTAAAAAATAAAAATATGAATGAGTGTCTCAAGTTAAGTTGATCGTCCTGTAAAGTGTTTTTTAACGGACACAATTGGAGGTATGCGCTTAGTCTATGCCCATAATTTATACTAAAATATATAAAATGTCAAAAGATCATTTTGCGTTAACTCGTGATTTGTACAGGTAAAAAAATTGTTTTCTGGTTCAGGCTCGTCAAGTACAAACGTTCAACCATAAAAATGCGCATTTTAAATTATGTTTTAAGTTTAAATTACATTGAGAACCCGGAATGAATAAGTATTGAATTGGGATTGAATATCCTATTTTTTCTTTAAGACTACTTAGTACAGGGTGTTAACATTAAGGATAGCCGACAAAATACAATTGAAACCCTGTTACAATACAAACGGTGATGTCCTAGGCGTAAAAATACCTGACTTATGAAACGGTACAGAAACACACAACAATAATATTGAACCTAACGATTTCTTTTTGCGAATCAGGAAACGGTATCAAATTGTAGTATCTGTTTTTTTTTTTTTGACAGTTTTTATGATTTTTATATTATTATACAGATAACTTGTTTGGGACGTCTTAAATGTATACGAGACCAAGATTTGCCAGCTGACTCGACAGTTTTTTTGTAGAATGTAAACCAGTCGAGGTTGATGTACCTAGTCAAATTCCAAATAACTGATGATGTGTTGTTATTTTCAAAATAAGAAAGCAAAAATATTCAATTTTGACAATAATGTGGGTTTATTTTGAAAATCTTCGATCCACTTAAAAGTTTTTTGAGTAAGCATAAATCCTATAAAACGCTTAATATGTTTAGGTAAATTTCAAACATAAGCCGGTCTCAAATATAAAAACACTGATTGTGAGTAAACCATCCCAACAAGTTTTCTATATCAGTATGGCGTATTAAACTCCATGGGTTGGAGGGGGTGTGCTATCTTTCGGGTTTAAAAACAAATATCAATTTCTATCAATAAAAAAGTAAATTGTACAATTTACTCTTTGCGTCGTATTACAAAATTATAAAAATTGTTCAAGCCATAAAAGATAATATTTATTATTAATTTTTATCATATCGCTTAAATAAAGCATATTTAAACGAAAAAATAAATAAATTATCTACACCAAATATTCAAATATTATTATTGCGGATATATTTGAAGGGCACAGTTGAAGAAAAACGGTATAGTAGTCTCATTATGAACATTTTTTTTTCAAATGGTTTTTTAAAATTGATGCCATTAATTTTTTTTATTTATGTCAATAGATTGTTGAAAAAAATAATTTTTTTATTAAAATAGCATTTAATGTGATTAGTTTTTGGAATGGGAGAGGAATTCACGAACTTAGTTTTTGCTATACTTTAAAATTTTCATAATTTGACTACAACCGTTTTTCCCCTGTGCCTTTCATTTGTCATTTTTATAGGACCGATCCATTTTCAATATAGTAGTATCGGTCCTAACTTAGCAATGACTATTGTCCATCTCAACTCATTCAGACTCTAAACAAATGTCAGCAACCGATTGGTTGCTGACATTTGTTTAGGCGCAGTCACAGGCGCAGTCTCCAAGTAAGATTTTTCATTTTTCCTGAAATTTTGAAAGATTTCAGATTTTTTAAAAGGTCTGAACTTCCTTAGCCCCCCTCTAGTTACGCCATCGCTTATGTCTATTCTCCATTTGTAAATACTACTGATAAAAAGTTCAAAATAATTTTGTTTAAAAAAAAATACCTAGCTGATTAATCTATTTTAAATGTTTACTCCGTATTCAAAATTTAATCATGTCATTGATGTTTATCAGTCATCAAAAACAATATTCGATGACCAACACAATGTTATCGCACGCATTACGTTTATCCTTTATTATCAAGAAACTAGTCGCTCCCCTTATAGAAAAACTGATAACGATATTATTATCGCGGCTTATAGCCTGTATCCCTTGTGGATTTATAATTTTATTAATAATATTTTAAGGTTTTGTTTTGACAAAAGCTACCGTTGATTAGACGGTTATCTTCTTCCATCGATCCAGTAGAACTAAAGAATAAAAACTAGAAACCCCTATCTTTCTTTGGGATGGAAAACATTTTTGCAAATTTATAAAACTTTAATTTTGTGTATTTTTACTGATTATTGTACAATATTATTTAAAAATCAATAAGGGTTGTTTGTGTACAAAATACAAAAACAGAAGTCACCAAAAAAAAATTAAATTGACCTAAAATTAAAAAGTACATAAACCGATAATCTTAGTTTTGAAAAAGAAATGTTGTAATCGTTAGCAAATTAACTATTATCTTATATATATTTTTCATAAATTCAATGTTGGTAGATAAATTCTTAAAAATATAATGTTAGAAATGTACTATATTTTATTTGTTATTATTGTAAATTTGTTTTTATTTATAAAAAAATAATGCTTTTAATATGTTTTCGACTCGAATTTTAGTTTCGATGCGATTCTTGAAAGGTGTTAATGTTTTAAATCGTTTTCTAAAAAAAATTTCACTCGCTTCCTGCAGCTCTTGCCTACTTCTATTTAGAAACCTTTTTGGGACCCTACAAGTAAGATACCTAAGACATAATTTTATTAAAATAATTGAATAATAAAAAAAGTAATCATACCGACATAAAATGCGGACGTTTAAATTGTATTCGCATCTTTTGCAGTTGTTATGTGCCATTTGAATGCTTTAGTTGTACGATTTTATCTAAACAACCTTGTACACCCATCTGGGCTTACCTTGATAAAATAAATTTGTCCTTATATGGCATGTGTATCGAAGATTATCTATAATAGGCTTTATGATTTACCACCGTTAGATCCCGACCGTTTACCATACCACTATACCTTTATAGTATTAAACTGATACTCGCCTACTTGTAAAATGGAATATTCATAATAATATAGAATACCAGGTGACACTTGAAACATTAGAGAATAATATAATATATTGACACCCTTCAGTGTACCACATCTACTGCAGTTGCACCATGTCAAATAAATATAATTATACCTAATAAATACTACTGTACGACACAAGGTTCGTACGACGATTAGTCTTAAGCTGGATTTTTTGGTCTGAATTATTTCAAGTTTTTTCGCGACCATATAAAATGGATTCTCTTGTGAGACTGGGATAAAGACGTGGTAGACAAACGAGATGTATATTTTATCAATCTAACGGATTTTTCACTTATAGTGTTGGCATTTATTATAAAATACATATTTAAAAAAAAATTTTTTTTTAAGTAGCCATACAAATTAACGTTGATCGTACTGACTATACAGGTTTGTTAGCGTAGATCGTTAACGAATTAGCGTTTTTTTTTTCATTATAAATTATAATTACACCTTTCGACACAGTCGTGAACTGTTCTGTTGGGAATAATAAAACAAATCATAATTATGTGTATACATCACGCAAACGTATAATTAGAATATTCGTCTACAGCAGAGACCGATGGACTCTCCCGTATAACGACTTAAGAAGTTAACCAGTAAACAACCGCACTTATAAACTCAAGAAGATATTTTTTACACGTTTTGTCGGTTATTTTCTGGATATCTAATGTACATATATATAGAACAGTATAACCTCTTCTGCATGTGTTATGTATACACTTGAATCAAAACGATCTGAACCTTGGTTTCAAAATATATTTTACTCGTGTTTCAAATAAATAGTAGTAGTCATGAGACTACTAAATATGGTAGCCGTCCATTCTGCCATATACAATAAGTATTTTTATTTCTTAAACTCAAAAATGTCTAAAAAAAACTTTTAAAACTAAAAGCTACAGTAATGTTTCATTCCGTATATCTGTATGACAAATAAAAATGTAGACCTTAAACATTAAAAACATGTGATATGTTTTTTTTTCAATAACCATTCGTTTGAAAGTTCATATTTGTAGAATTTATTATCATGCTATATTTTTAGGCTTTTTTAATTTTGTTAGGTTCAAGTTTTTAGAGGTTGTTTAAAGATTGATTTAACTTTTAAAAATCATAATTACATTTTCAAATATTTAAATATTTGGTTTTTAAATGAGTAGCGTATCATCAGACTTTTATTTTTCAAAATTAAAAGTAAACTCTTGATGTCAGGGAAAACTATGGCTTATGTTAGGAACTGATTTGTTCCGCATTCGGATTAATCTTTTCAATCTAATCGCACAAGACATGTTTGTATAATTTTAATAGTAAAACTTGTAAGGTCGGCATTTATCGTCGACCTTATAAGTCCTTGTATGTCATCTAATCACTTTTGTTGATGTTCAACCAAGTAATTCTAGTGTTTTATTTATTTTTTTATATTTAACTACTAGTTTCATATAACAACCTTTTTTTTAATTAACATTCCAATTTTGATGGTTCGAATCTTTTGCTTACTAATTACATGACAACTATAATTATAATCTAATTACAGTTAATTATGTTATTGTATGAAAAGTAGAACAAGAACGGATAGCAGGAAAATACGCGTTTTAATGTTAATTTGGTGTTTTTAGTATTGGTCAAATCTATCTATTCATTTATCATCATATTGTTTTCTGTAACACTATTATTAAAATAGTCATACTGCATGTTTTCACATCAAGTTTACCTAAAAGGTTTCGCTACCATATTATAATCATTCTACTTGGAATGTTATAATAATTTTGAAATGCTTTCAAATTCTAATATTTAATGAGAATATTTTACAATGAGGGGTCTATGTACATCAAAGTGAGAGGCCTTCTTGTCTCTGTTTATTTATTAAAAAAAGTATGGTAAATAACGTGTTTTTCAAAACCAAAATACAAAAAAAAAAATATAGGTATATAAAAATCGCTGTAAAGAAGTTTTACCCATTTTTATTTTATTTATCATAACCTAACGGCTATTATGTAGTTTATATTTATTACTATTTAATAGGTATGACAAATATATTTTTTCTAAAAGTGTCGGTACTGCATAGTAGTGAACATATTTTGTATAACTTTCCTTCCCCTTTAATTAGAACACAGTAACCATGGCGGTAATAATGAGTGGTGGTTATTAGACCATGAAAACAGTATGCAGAATTTACACGGCTGTCGGTATAAACTGAGTGTATTAAGTGTGTTTTATTATTATCGAGCTTGTACATAATTACATTATCGGTCAGCCGCTATGGCAACCACCATTGCATGCATAATATCAAACTGACATGGTGTGTAGCACATGGTGTGCAGGTCAGCTAAAAGCGCATTTAAACACAATCGGGTTGTTTAAAACAAAAATTCGAAAACAGTTTTTTATAAGATTTTCGTACAGTAAACAAGTATAAATATTTTGATTTGCATTTATGTTGAGTATAATCTTGTTTTTGGATTAAATTTATCTTACCGAACATCCTTTTATTACCATCTTGAAGTATTTTTTGAAGCTGATTACGAAACTGAAGCCATTAACTCATGCGGAATCCTCTAGTTCAAAAGTTTTTGCTACTTGAACTTTGAGAATTACCGTTGCGTAAGACACCATCCAGCCGTTGCTAGTTGCGACGGTTAACCTCTCAAAATAGTATCTTAAACAGTTAAAGTTATTAATGCATTTGAGAAATAAAAATATTAGAATGGCTGTAGGGAAGATCATCGTCGTACATCCATCGATCCATTTTAAAAAACTATAAATATTATATTGTGTTGAATATCAAACATTATCATCGACTTGATAACACCTAGATGCAAAAAAAGAAAACGAACAGCTCAGTTTTGTTTTCAGCATGTATAGTAGTACTATCGATTAATAAAAAAATCGTAAAAGGAAGTGTCTGGTAAAGTATATTTATATCTAAAAAAACAATATGTATTATTAATAGGTACCTTCTGTTGTGTTTGTGGTGAATGCCGTCTGGCATTGTAGACAGAGTAGCTATGTAACATTGAATAACGTGTATAACCTATGAAATATATCTCAGATAATGCGCAAGTGATTTTGGTAACTATAAAAATTTTATAGCGCTTTTATTTCAACTTGTTCCGAGAAGGTATAATAACTAAAATACAAATTTTATTTTATACAAAACCAAAATAACCATTTCTGATTTGCCGTATTTTCTTATCAGTTTATTTATTGTAATACTTGTACGAAATAGTGTATAAAACGGCCGTTGCCTCTGATTTAATATATTCTGTGTTTTTACCGACCTCTTGACAAAATAAATATGCAAGTCAGCAGATTGTGTTAACAATTCTTCCCAGTGTATAAAATTCTCGATCTTCCCAAGTATTTTCCCGTTATTACTAGTTGCTGGTATATCTTTATTTTTTTTTGGTCATGACACACGTGTCATAGATCCCCAAGAATCATTTTGAAAATGTCCGTGCTATTCATAGAATTTTCAGACCTGAGCACTTATGTGTACGGTGTAGTAATTTAGGTGTTGCACGTATACCCATCCGTGAAAAGAAAACATACATATAATATTATTATGAAAGCAGTAGAAGAGTAGGCAATATAATAATATTGTATTGTTGATGAAACACGGTTATTACATCAGTTACGTGCAATTGTCGAGTACAACAAATATAATTTTGTCTTAACCACTACTTAGATAGGCTTCGCCGTCGTGATAAAAACGCGTTTTCCTTACTAGTATTACTATTACTATTATTATTATTCAAATACAACCGATACACAAGTGTTGTTGTAATGTTGTGGGTACACTATGGCTTTCTCCTTTAAATGGGTACTCTTCGCCACGACCGCGTCGTTGTCATTTTCTCGCGATTCCCTTTAACAGATATTAATTTGATGTAATTGCTATATTGTTTTCGGTGAAATCGATTGGTCCTCGATTACTGTACTTACTAAAACCGTTTTTGACACAAATGTACACGACTAGTGTTAGAACAGCTTTGACTACACGGCTAATTAAGCTGTCAACACGATTGATCTTTTTGTAATAAATGAACGTGCAAATTGTTCAAAAATGAAAAAAAATTGTTGATTAATTAATCATTTTTCTTTTTTTTTGACAGATGAACCAAAAATGTCCACAGAGGTCAAACAATCGTCGATGTAGCGATAGCGACGGATCATTTGAGTTCATCAAAAACGAATACAAAAACTTACAAAAAGTATGTACGATCACGAAGGTGTTAATTAATATCACACTAAAATATAAGCCGTCCGAAATGTTTACGACCAATCGTTTAGAATACACATAAGATACAATCACAAATACATGTTTAAATATAGTTAATGATAAATATGCACAACTTTTTTTTAGATTCATATAAATAAAAAATAAGAGAACTATCAAATACCGATGTTTGCTATATTTACATGTTATTAAGTTTTGAGGGATTTCCTTCAATGCACATTTTGAATAGGTACAGATTTTTCGTTGTTAAATACAAGTTGACCAAAACTTGAAGTTAATTAAATTAGTTTACAAGGTCTCCCGAGGACAAAGTAATTAAACTGTTAAATTGTGTATAATTTGCATATTTAAATTACATTTTTTTTATTGCATTTTCTTTATGTACGTTTCCTGATTTTTTTTTAGTTTTGCTTTAAGTCAATTTAATGAATTAGTGAAATTTGGATCACACTAATTAGCCAAATACTTAAAATGTCGGTTTGACTTTAGAAACCAAACAGATAACATTTTTTTAAAAAAACGCCTTTATTAATTTTGCGTCTATCGGTAGTACACTTTAAATTTACAAATATTCAGTATAATTTTCAAAAAAACGTCGTTAACACTTTTTCTATTGTTTTGTTTTAATAAGAACGCATTGCTAAGAGTTTCTAAAATTATTACTTAAATAATCGATCCGTAGGGTAAACGCTATATTGTAAAACCAACCTGTATTCGTATTCCAATGTTTTTCATTTGTTGCGTTGTTATATATGAAAAAAAACCGGTAATTAACATCGTTAACGCGTAGATTTTTGCACGTCATTCTCGCGTCATTACTATGTACCTACATTATTAACCCTAATTCGGTGAGATTAATTTGATTTGAAAACCTAATTACAACCAAGAACAAATAGTACCAAGATGACCGTACATAAGAAGTCAAATGGTAGTCGAAATGTAGAGCATGTGTACGCATGCTTTGTGGAAACTAACAGTTATATTTTGTAGTGATGTAAAATTTTATGAGCTGTCAATACTTCATAATTTTTCAACGCAGTAATTGAATAATAAAGTACTACAGATAATCTACATCCTATGGAAAACGGTCAAAACGATTTCTTCGGATTTTTTATTATTATCACTATTTTTTTTTTTATGCCAACAATATGAGATAGGAGAGAGGAGGTAGGATAGCTGTTTTAGTGTTATACCATTGGGTAACCCGGTGTAACAGTAATGAAATAATATTGTGTTATATATTATGTATTATACAATTAGACTAAAAATATTATTGGACGGGTGTTGTAGTATTGTTTAGTTCGGCATTGAAACCGACAAAATGGCTAGATATACATACATATATATATATATAATCGAACATAATACCTAATATACAATATAATATTATGAGAATTGTGTAACTCGTTTGGTATTTTAGCGTCGGTTCGAGTAGACATGTGTACTAAAAATTTCACAGCTCGTATGATTTTTTATTTTTTTTGTCCACGACAAAATGTTTTCCTCGCCGGTAAAGGAACAAAACCTACAAAATAACGTCTAAGGCGTAGACGTTAATTTTTTGTTTTGTTATTATTTTTATTGACCTCCAAACACGGTTAAATTGTTGTTGCAACGAATAAAAAATATAATAATTCACCGAGCCATTTTTCTTTTTAAATTAGTACAGAGATCGACTGTTAATCGATGCGAAATAAACTAGGGCACCGCGTCCAATAATGATTATGGAAATTACCGTTGTCGGTCAAGTCCTTAATATTATATTTTCTTCAGCTCCTGCACGAGCGTATTGGTCTCTTAGCTAATGTATTTGTAATACTCAATCGACTTCTATGGTTCTACTTTTGTGGTCAATTTGAGGTCAGTTGCGTAGGCTATTCAGTAACCCTTAGATATCTGCCTTCTGTATACTTTTGTTCTTAAACACATTTTATCCGATATTATTCCTGTTTAATTGCATTTAATTGTTTACGACTTTAAAATAACAAAGCTTATAGTTTCATACGTTGTACATCTTAAACAAACCTAAAGCAATATAATTTTTTAAAAAATATTTCCTACGTCTTAAGTTCAGTTATTTAGCAAAAATATTTTTTAATATTACAAAAATGAAAAAAATAAAATTTTACAGGGAATTAAATTCCACGCATTTTATGTGTCTTTGTTTTATTTACAACATTTAATAATAGACAAAAATAAAGACGTGATTTTTTTGTATAGTTTATTTTTATTGTTTTACGTTTTGGATAATTTCGCACGGTTTTTGGGCATAAAAAATTTCAATAAAATTCTCGGGCCATGTTTTTTCACGTTGGGTATATATTCAACCGATGATGTTAATAATAATAATAATACAAAAATATGGGTACATAAGTAGGCTATAATATTATATTTTATAACAATTGACAAAGAGCCGCCAACGATATTCGCCAGTGAAAGTGTTTATTATATTTCTTTAGAAAAGTATTTTATATTGTATATTTTTTCGATGTGCCATTATTATTATTATTAATTTTTCATAACAATCTCACTTTCGGCTTTATTTTACATGAACTGGCGACGCACGCTGATGCAACGAGCATGGCCGTTTTTCCACCAAACCCGTATGTTTCCCTTTTTTAAACGAAATAAGGGTCCTTACATTACATGACATTTTACAGCCAAAACATTAAAAGATACCTACGTAGAATGCCTTTTAGTTTTAGAGCAAGAATAATTTAAACAAAAACGAAAGATGACAAGCTTTTAAAGACAATGTCATATCCTTTTTTGATAAACTTAATGTTTAACATTTAAAATGGTATTTTTTTACTTTTTTAAAATAGCCATACATTTTTTTCACGTTGTTTTTTTTAAAATCGGTATGCGTAGTTATGTTTGGATGAAACAAATATTTTAAATAGCTGACAAAAAGATACTGTGATAGTCCGAAAAAAATAACTACCATAAAAGAGTTTTAATTACTAAACTAATAATTACACATTACAGTTGAGCTTTAAATTAATATTTTGCCAAAAAATTGCCTAAACTTAATTTCTTAATAATCAGGGTGCCACTTCCTCTTGAGTAAAAATAATTTGTTTAAGATCAAAGATAAATATATAATATGGATAGAGACTCCCGGCGGTGACCTATTCACCACCAGCAACAACTCCAATGACGCCGCTCGAATGTCACTTGTTGGTTTCGTGTGTACATGTATGTATAATTAGTAACTACACGTAAAGCCGGAGAGTATAATTCCCCTAAAGAAAAAAAACACCGCATTGTAATATTTCATAATAGCTCGTGCTCTTGTGTACATGCTTCAGTGGTGCATACAGCAGACGGTGAATCACAATAATATCGTTGTACACTTGACTCATTATATGTGAAGCAACGTATTTTTTTGGGTATTTTTCTTCTAGGTTCTCCGACCTGTTTTATTTGTTTCCATCCGCTCGGGGAATATTAATTTTTGTTTACTTGAGAGAAACATAATATCTTCTGTATAGAGTTGGCAATAATATTTGGACCCGAGCGGCGAGCTCGGTATATATTCGGTATAGTATTAGAATGTGTAGTTTAGTATGGATTTTATGACAACGTTTTTTCATACGAATATTTTATATTATGTTGGTAAAAATTATTTTACAGAAGTAGGTATGACAGACAGCCTGTAGAGTGATCAGATTTTAATTATTTTTTTTTAAGGAGGATTTTCTAACGATTGAATGATTCTGTGTTCTTCAATTGTTTATTATATTTTCAAAAACTATTTTAATCATTTCAAAGGTATTATTAATACTCTAGTTATAATGTAATTGGAAATAAGAGTTTTTTTAAAAATAATTAAGTCATTTGTGTATGACTTAAGTATAAATCAATAGGTATCATTTATTATTAAGTATCGCCGTCAACTCAAAATTTTGAATTTGTCGTCAGTTGAGCAATATTCAATAGTACTTTTACTATGTTATTTATTTAAAAATATATTTAGGTAAATTATATTGTATAAAAAAAAATTGTGAAACAGATTCGCTTCGAATAGTGTCATGCTACATTAATTATAATTGCCACATTAGCTGCCATGGGTAGTGCCGACAATCCAGTTTAAGTGGTTCCTAAATAATGGAATTGGAACCCCTAACAGCTAACTTGCTTAAGCTTTATGTTTTAGTGAAAAATCGTTTCATAATTTTAGCTAAACATTTTGAAGACTGGTTTACTAAAATTTGGCAATTCTACTATAAAGTAATTATTATATTTATCGTGTGTACCAATGTGTTGAACAATCTCAATTATTAAATAACAAGACTATCACTCGGGTCGGTTTAACTTGGTAATTGTTATTACTCGCTGGATTATCGTTGATAGAAAATGGAATAATGTATAAAAATAACGGTTTTTTAATTTGTATTTGCAGAGAAAGTGTAATAATTATTTTTTTTGTACATACACGCAGGTACGCATAGTGTACGGCACACGTTTGTTGGATAGATTAGGTCAAGATTATGTTCGTGTACTATATATCAAAAGTTATCATGTTCTATCTGTGCCGGCGATAGATAAACCTATAAACGTTCTGTAATATATTATTTAAAGTGGTTTTGCGCACGTTGGATGTCGTTTCCAGTGAACGTTTTAAATATTGAGGAGTAACTCGGCTGTTTAGCATTTTATACAGAGCACTCGTTGTGTTAACCGTGAGTCCGGTTTTAAGGACTGTGTGTATACTACACATACATAGGAGGCGCTGTATAAACAACGCACCGGGTAGACAGGATTCACACATGGTCTGTCAACCGTGACTTGCCCGATGATTTTTGTCCTTTTATTACACTTGTCCCGCTACTACCTGACTAAAACTATAAAACGAAATTAATGAAAAATGTTTGTCGGTCTCTCCGGCCCGACAAAACGTCGCCGCCGCCAAAATAAAATGCCAATTAATTCTATGTCGTCTTTGCCGATTAAAAACCGAGCACATTTAAACCACCACCAATATTAACCAGAATTGACAAAAAAAAACCTATGAGGTTTTTATTTTTTTTGTAAGTTGGTCCGGCTTTGTAACGAAACGAAAATTCGAAATAATTTATATATTTAAAAAATGAACTATGGCTATAGTTTCGAGTTGCCGGTTTTTAATAGGTTTTCCCCTTGTTTTTGTGTTATAGCTGTACGAAGACTTGAGTGCCAAATACGACAGACTCAAGCGGAAAGAAGAAGAAGAAGCCAACAAACAACAACGTCAGGACGAGGAGGAAGCGCCTTGCATCGAGCTAACGTTGGCAAAGTCCCAAGTAGAAACGCTGCAGTGGCAACTGAAGCAGGTAAGATATTAATGCATTTCCATATTGTTATAACTTATAATATTTATGTATGTATATATATATATAGAGAGTTACCCGCATTATTATGCTCTCGTTCGGAGAGAGGTACGTTCACCCGTGTCTGTAATGTTGTTTTAATGTTTGCTATAAATAGGTCGATGCCAGCAATCAAATGTACAAAGCCGTTCTGGAGCAAGTGTCGAAGTTTTTGGAAAAAGCTCACACGTCCCTAAACACGGCGGTAATACTGCCCAACCGACCCAATCTACCTATAAAAAATAGGTAAAAATAATACAACAGTATTTTTGATTTTATATTAGCTTCGTTTATCAATTTGCTTAATGTACTCACTGTATAGATTGTAAATATATTTTCAGATAATAAAAAAAAAAAAAAATAGCTTTGACGCGAAATTGAGGAAATTGTTTTTTTTAATGTATACATCCAACAAAGCCCATTTTTTTAGGTTGAATACCGAGCAATTGCTTGTTTTTTTTTTTCCAATAACCATAAATTATAATTTGATTTGTATCAAAGCGTCTCTCGAGAGTAAAATGATCACTGATGGACATAGTTATTTTTTTCTTCGTTTAACGGACCATTGAGGTCCAACGCTACCTCCTTAACCATACTCGAAGGGGTGGTATCTCTCCCCTTCTTTATATTATACCGGGACAGGTACCCGGACGTCATAAATAATTGATAAGTTTTGTCCAATGTGACGGTAACGCGTGAAATGCGTTTTTTTTTTGTTATTTCAGGAGACCGTCGTTGAAGAGCAGTCAGGAAGAATACACCGAAAAGTTATCCTCGGAGGCGTATAGACTTCACCGTACCGTTCAATCCATAATCCAGACCAAAGAACCAGACCTAGTCCAACATCTCCAACCCTACTACAATAATGTATTTGACAAAAATAGCAATTCCTCGGTTAGTGGTTTTTCGTTTGTAAAGTATTTTCTAAATGAAAATTAGGGTTTGCCGAGCTACAATCGATTGATGAACATTATTATGAGTTGGAAAGAAGTATATATTATAGTATTAACAAAAATAAGTTTTTAGTTTTTTCATTTACATTTATTTTCAAACACTTGTAAAAATTGACAAACAATGCACCGGCAGACGGTAGTTTAAATTCATCGAGCGTTTGGTGTTTCATAAGATATTGATAACATAGGAAATGCTCTTTTAGCACAGATAAAGTTATGGTCATAGCTCATTACCTATCCGTGATTCGTAGCTATATTTATGGAATTTTTGGTTAAATACCAAACATTTTCAGGGCCTAAAGAATATAACACTGCTGGGATTTTTGTCAGTCGACCGTATATCTACCAGAGCTTGTTGTTTTTTTTAATTTGAATATTTTTTTTTATCTGCTCGACAGCTCTTTGTAAGCAACGTTGCAAATTACCTTTTTGTTTTGTCGTGCAGATATGCAGTTGCGATTCGTTGCCGGCCGTTTGTAACGGCGTGAAATGCCTAGAGGTGTCCAGCGGTAGTTCTAATCAAAGTGAAGCCTCCACCAAAGGGTCTGATTTCTACAAAAAGGACACGGCCAAACAAAAGTCCAGGCCGGCCGTGGTCGAGGACGAAAGCGGCTTCTCGTCGATAAGTTCACACGACAACAACAACTCTCCCACTTATCCCGAACTTGGGTTGCCCACTGGCCGCATACCCATCGACAAGTTTACCAGACGTTGGTCGAGCGTGTCCAGCACACCTATCAACCAATCGTTCAACTATCACACGACCGCTTCAAACACTTCGACGCCCATAAAAGTCTGTTGGGTATAAAAAAACCAGATTTAAAACGAATAAATATTTGTTTTAAATGTTTATAAAAAATTAAATGGTATATATATATATACTACTAATAAATTATAAGCAAATGTTAATATATATATATATCGCGAAAGACTTAAGTATTCGGTAACTTATTTTATTATATTTATTGTTTTGTTGTTTTTTTTTTTATTAATTCATAAATTTACTTGAATCCTTTATTATGTTTTGTATTTATTTACATATAATATTAATACTTCTATAAGATGATCAATAAAACGTCGTGACATTATCGGACAGTGATTTTATGCGACCACTTGTGGGTGGCAATTGAACTGCCACTGATGTCTTTTAGTTTTTTGTTTTCATTTTTCCTTTTTTTATATAGACATACTTATACATATTTTTTTATTGTTACTTTCTTCACTGCGTGTTGCTTGATAAAACAAAATTATTATAATACCAATGAGCATTCAGAACTAATCCGATGTACAATATTATAATATTTTCTCGTTTATCTTATATATATATATATATATTTTGTGCACACGATTTGTATCCATATAATAAATGATTTTTTTTTTAAAGAAAAAAACAATTTTGTATTATCTAGATGTTTATTATTTGTTGTAGTTTTAGCGTATAAACAACGTTTGCTCGTTTACTAAGAAACATACTTTCCATCGATTGGCAACGGTACAAATGTAGATAATCTGTAAATTGTAAATCTGGACCTAAATCCTAATATAACTATTAAAAAAAAAAAGGAACGCCAAACAAACATAAAACGTAGGCGTTTCCTGTGATAAATAATAATTTTATAATTATTGTTCATATTTTAATCACATTATTTTAAAAATATGTACTGTTTATTTTATTTCAGCAAATTGATTCGTTAAATTGTTGAACAGTAACTTAATTTTGATAACACTAGTAAAACTGTAGGGATATTTTTTTTGTTTGGCTCCTCTTACATTATAAAACAACACCGGTGGCAATAGAGATGCAACAGAACGAGGAAAAACGTTAATAATTAGTTTTAAATGCTTTCAGACCACCAAAAAAAAAATCCTCGGGTTGGCCGACTGAACGGTTTTGAGGAACTGTGCAACAGTCCGTGGTATGGAGTGGATACACGTTACCAATTATGTAATAGTACACTAATATATGAAATTGTTTTACATTTTGGTTTGCTATTAGCTTGTCTTGTCAATTTGGCGTGATAACGACGCGGAACTAAACGTAAGTGTGAATTTCTAATTTTTAAAAATGGTTTATTGTGTGTAGCAAAACAGTGTCTACCGTTCACGTAAAAAGGCAACACTTAAAGTTTAATATTTACCCAAAATGATGAATTAATTCACTGGGTCGGGCTTTTAAAAAAGAAACCCGGTTTAAATGTGAAAAATATAATTATTTTTTTCTTCCTTCGTCGCGTCAGCTTCAATGCTGTGCTCAGGATAATGTCAGTGCCGTAGTCAGGGGTGGGGCACATCTTCCTCCCTTCCCGAAATGTCTTCTATCCACTCATGATAATATAGTGTTACGGAAACTGTCGAATGTTGTAAAACGGGTACACACATGTGTTTTAGAATAACCAGTGTGCTCCCGCCCTGTAAAAATAAATTCCTGGCCACGGCACTGAAACATATTGTTTTCTATATTATACTTTGGTGCCCGACAGATTATTATTAACAACTGTTCGTTTAATTCAATCGTTCGGCTCAACACTTTTTGGTATTTTTCCGCCCGCGCACTATTATTTCATTGTTACGGTTTCGAATAGATTCTTTCCCTATCTCTCTCTCTCTCTCTGTTAAGTCTGGCGGCTCTCCTTCGCACTTGATCGACACACCGCGTTAGGTACGATGGAAGCGAGAAAACGGATCCATTCAAGTGATCTCGACCCGAACACGAAGTGTACAATAATAATAATAATGCACTACAGGTTCTATGATGAGAGTATATATATATATATATATAAAACCAAAAAAAAATATGCATACCAAATCACTATGCTCGGAACATTATGTGTGTATGTGTGGTGGTTCGCTCTCTCTCGGCGCCGTCGATATTCTCTTAATATTGTCGTTGGTTTTTCACTCGACTATTGAAATCACCGTCTAAACCGTGTGTGTTGTTTACTTACCGTGATAATAATAATAACATAATCATAGATAATATTATACATTATAATACACTGTGCTATGCTATGTCCGCGCGACCCAAAATACCGTCTGTTTGTTTAACGTTGTACCAAAAAAAAAATATCGTTAATCTCTCGACCGCGCACCGGTAGGCGTTTTCAAAGTCGAAACACGCGCATTAGATGTATTGTAATAATAATAATTATTATTATTAAGAGGCGGAGTTATCAGTCTGGAAATGGAAATTTTCCCAGGTGGAACATAAATTATAACGGCTTCTCGAGTGTTGGCCAGACCAAACATTTTTTTTTGGTTTTCAGTAAAAAACTATTTTTGTAGACGTTCTCGCTTCTCGCATAATTCAAATATGAATTTTTTCATATATTTTTTTTTATCTAAAAAAATACATCGTCGATTTTTCATACATAGGATACAAAACACTGTAAATAGAGAAAACCTGCGCGTTTTCCGCCAAATCAATGGAACATAAATTTATGAATAAAAAAAATCATATGAAATCATCGTATTTCGGTTCTATTCTTGCAAACAAATTTTGTAATTTTGCCTAGTCCTACACCTCCATAGAGCTACATTCAGCTCGATTTATTGTTTTTTTTTTTGTTACATTTGTTATAATAAATAATACTGTTAATATGAATTTAGTTGAGCATTACTTAAAAAACAATTTATTTAAATTATACTTTTTTTATTTACTTATTTTATTATGAGCTAAATGAAGTGAGTAAATCTCGATCTGAACTACTCCGCCACTGTTATTGCTGTTAAGTAAATAATAAATAGGTAGCGGGATCCGAAACATTTATCGCCGTATTTGGTTTTAAGGCTCTAGAACTCGCATCTACAATTGATATGTCCACATTCCAACAATACCAGATTAAAATATTAAATTATAATAACGGTATAGTCTCACTTCATAGTTTTTACGGCATTATTTGTTGTCGATAAAAACACATGGAAATCAAATATAATATGTATGTGTATATTGAATTGTTTTTCAACGCTAAGGCCCCTTACTAGACTTTTAAATCTTGTTATCTTGAAGCTATTTTAGAGAGCAGGTTTGAAGTGTTACATAAATACGGGTTAAACAAATTTATAATATTAAACACAATATAAAGATTATTACTTTTTGCTTGTCAAAACAAACAATAGCTATGAAATATCTCGACTGCTTTGCTTCGAAGCTACACACTAACCAAAATCTTAAAGTCAATATAAATAAATATGACTACAAATTTTTTTTTTTTTTTTGTACATTGTTATTAATATCAGCTTTTGTAAAGAATTATTTTGTTACCATTTGGACTTCATTACACAGTTTTGAAATATTTAACGTGTAAGTAGGTGTAATTAAAATATTCTTCAAGTACAAATAAGATGGTAAAAATGTCTTCACATAATAATTTCACCAGCTATTTCATTTTTACCGATGGCCAACTAACAGGACTAACTGAAAATAACAGGAATGGTTAAGTTTGAAACATTAATTGTCTAAAGAATAAAAAAAATGTATGTTGAGGTAATCTAGTAAAAAATTATATGAAAAACCTCATTACAATATTGATACATTTGCACTTAAATTTTAATAAGAAATTCATTTTGAATGGAAAACTGCCTATACGAAACCCCTTAAAAGGTCGGTTTAATACTTAACTACAGCTGCAATTGTCAACGGGCAAAATCAAGTACAACATTTTAAACAGATGCAACACTAATATGTACAATCTAAATTTTATTTTAAGGTATTCTTTAATAACGGTCCATCATTTGATTTAAAATGTTAAAAATGAGTCAAGATTCAAGAAAATACAGTTCACGGTTCAGAAGATATAAAAAGTCATTAATTTTAAGCCTGAAAAGGCTCTAGTCATAAGTAAATAATAATTAACAAAATAAAAAATTGAATCTTTTAAATTCATACAGTAAATATTTTTTTATATTAACGCCAATGAATTATACAGGGTCCGGCAAAAAAACCTCCCTTATTTAGAAATGGCACTGTGTGAGTTGTGGTGGTGGTACAACGGTGGAGGGGGTATCGATCGATAGCTGTATACATGCCATTTTCTTCTGACCTAACCTAAACCAATTTGCTAGGAACCATGATAAGGGAGAAGTCTGGTTCCAACAAGACGGTGCCACAGGTTACACTTCGCGGCGCTCCCTAGCAATCTTGAAAGAGGTGTTTCCTGGACGTCTTCTCTCTTTGCGAGGAGACATCACCTAACCTCCAAGGTCACTTGATTTATCCCCTTGTGGTTTAAGGACTTAAGAAGGCAATCAAACAGGCAGTGGCTGCCATTACACCGGAAATGACACGAAGAGCAATGGCCATTCTCGAAAGTTAAAAGTGTAATCTGTGGCACCGTCTTTTTGGAACCAGACTTCTCCCTTATCATGGTTCCTAGCAAACTGGTTTAGGTAAGGTCAGAAGAAAATGGCTATTGATATAGCTATTGATCCATACCCCCTCCACTGTTGTACCACCACCACAACTCATACAGTGCCATTTCGAAATGAGGGAGGTTTTTTTGCCGGACCCTGTATATTAAAACTGTCGGTGCTATGTTGTTTCTTGTTAATAACTTCAATAAAGTTTAAAACTATAATTATTTAAAGATACCGAAAACCACATGGAATTCGCAAAACCAGTTTTTAGATATAATTATAGGGAGTCACGCCTAACAACGTACATACCTAATAAAAAAAAGTACACTGTGGAAATTAAATAGACTTTTTTTCACAGACCACTGAACGAACAACACTTATATAAATTTAGTAAATGGAATTTCAACTGAAATTTGGCTGTTACGCGGTTTCGAAAATATTTTAGTATTATTTCTAACTAAAATTAAGTAGTTTTGTTCTAAGTACAAGACAAGTTTGAAACTAAATACAGACAACAAAGTATAAAATTAATATTGCGAAAATGTCTGGACGTTAATAGCTTTTTTTGTATAATTTTGAAAATAAAAAATACAATTTTTGTGTCGAATGGGAAATAGTTATTGATTAAAAATTGTTGAGTAGTGAGTACTAATTACTATGCCATATCAACATAAACATGCGTTCCTCGTGACCATAGCGTATTCAAAAGCTAACCGAAGTGAAAATTTCTAATTATTGTTTTAATGCTCTTAACCTTTTTAAGCTGCACACGTTTAAGACGACTGTCAATAATTACTATACCTATACGCCGCCGTTGTTAAGACAATTCAATGTTTAGCTGTTGTTAACACGATTGTCATTCAATCTTTAGATTCTTACCTAATGTTTACCGGGATCGTATTAGGTTTTTTACAACCTTATTTCGAATGGAATGGTGTTCGGTCCACTGGCGCGGAGCTTACGATTCGAGTATGAATGTAATATGTTGTCGACGTGACAGTCT